AGTGGTGTCATCAGGATTATATTGCAGATTACAACTGTGAGAAAGGTGAGGCGGTTTTTTAGCACTACTGTATACATTGTTATTGTTTAGTGTACCAATATAACCATATCCCATTATCAAAATTCCCGCCTTCAATTGAGAGAGGTAGAGAAAATAGTCAAAAAGCCTAGGCATGGAATCCTAGTGTGTCAATGCCCTCAGGTACCAGTAAGTTGTTCGTGAGAAGTCAATATATATATATATATATATATATATTATTATCTATATATTATAATATTATTACTTCCATCCCTCTTGCAACACCCTTAGGGATGAACATGGAATGATTACCTCTTAACCCTCTCGATCCCATAATCATATTCTACGATATGGAACTAACAAACCAAACGTGCTATTATGCGAGGTAACTAGGACCAAGACCCCCCCCCCCCAACCCTAATATGAATTATATTGGATAATCCGGAGAACATTACAAAAATCAAAATATAAATTTCAGAACACAATATAAATGATACACACATTTACTGCATACTGAAGCAATTAAAATAGTATGTCAATGACAAACAATATTTCGCAAGCAAATTCCATTTTTACCAATTTCGAGGCCGTTCAATATCCCTAGAATAAGGGTCAGCATCGCCCAGTTCATACGTAATCCCGCCACTATTGTACCAAATATTTTAAACAATTCTGTGTGTTTTTGTTTAAATATTTACTTTACTATTTTCCTTCATGAGCGTCGGTTAATCGGCACTTGGGTATACGAGAGAGTACTGTACTAAAATACGCGAATATTATGGGAAGGCCGAAACTGGGCTACAGCGCCATCGTTAAAATCAAAAAAGGCATCATTTCCTACAAGATGTTTCATGTCATAAACGTACAAAAGGACAAGCCAGATATTTTTGTTCGGATTCGTCGCCTATCAAAGGTAAGTTGTTTAAGTTGTTTTCGTAAGTTGTTATGTACCGCCTCATGCAGACGCGCGGGCGCGCACCTGCTCAATCTAGCGAGGCTATATCCTGCGCAGAAGCCGGCGGATGTAGCTGTTCTTGGCGATGTCGAAGGGCGTGTGGCCCTGCTCGTCCTTGGCGGCCTTGTTGGCGCCGGCCGCCACCAGCGCGCGCACCGCCGCCTCGTTGCCGCACTCGGCCGCGTAGTGCAAGGGCGTGCGGCGGAACTCGTTCCAGATGTCCACGTACGAGCCGGCGTTCAGCAGGATGGACACGCACCTGCGCGAATGGAGAGGGGGTTACTCTAAGAAGGGATCACTTTTTTTTTTGCAGGTCGCATCATAAGCGACCACTATAGATATTAACGAAATGGTTAACGGTATGATGTGCTATTGTGATGGTGAGAAATGAACGCACACAAATATAAACATGCCCGAGGCGGGACTCGAACCCGCGATCCATCAGTGCGAGATCGCTACTGTCTTACGATCTCGGCCATCCGGACGACATGGGACCACTTTGTCAGGTCGGGAAGCAAAGGAACATCATGCTGGCCAATGACATTGCAAGAGATGGTGATGAAGACATTTGTAAATGAGTTAAATGCAAGTGAACCACGGACAAAATCTGTACATTGATGTAACGTGCAGTTATAGCCTTATATTACCAACAGTGTTCAAGCAGTAGTTGTCAAAGTGGTCCCTTCTTAAAGTAATCTCTCTGTTCCATGAGATAGATTGGTCGTTGAAATTGTTTGACAAATTGAAGTTTGTTTCTCCTGTTGACCATTTAATTCATAAGTGTTTACCATTTCAGAGCGCGACCACTGTTCCGTAAGTGTAGTGTATGTTACGAGTCTGTTCTTCCCGAAGATTCGCCTTAGACCCCACGCCGACACACACGTCGGGTTGCAAGGATTCACATCGATATCCCTGCCTAGCGACTTGGAATTCAGCTGCTACTCGGAGCAGAATTCTAGCGGCCAGCTGCTCTGATCAGTAGTTTTCCGTGGTTTCTCCGATCAACACCAGGCGCATGCCGGAGCAGTTATCGTAACAAATAAACCACGGGCCATCTTCCCTTCCACCTTCCTTATTCTACCTTCAACACTTACATAGTCTTGAATGCTCGACACTACCCCACATGCCGGGAGAACAGTCGGGAGCTTAGAGCTTGTTCTGGCTGGGGCGGTGCCCCTCCGCTGGGAGATCCTCTGGTTGGGGATAATCCACCAACGAAGGTCAACGCTCGATCTCGCCATCCACGGGGGAAGATCACCGCCGTTTTCCGCGATGAGACAAGCACTACAATTACCGGACTAATGACGGAGCATTGGAGGCGCCCGGCTAATCAACCCACCTGCTGCGCGCGTACCTGCAATGGTGGTGGCGGCTGCGACGGTGTAACGGTTAGCTTATAGGACTGTTATTCCCAAGTTAGCGGGTTGAAACCCGATCGACGGGTTTTTAAGGGCGAAATAATGCTTCGTACGCCTTCCTTCGGAGGGGAAGTAAAGCCGGGTGTCCCATGTTAGTAGATTAACTGCATGTAAAAGATCCTCTAGCCTAAATGACGCCTCTAAGCCTGTTTCGTCGCCCAAGAAATTCTCCGCTAGTCCTTTCTCCGCCAGGTGGTAAAAGGAGCGAGCGTTATTTTCGTGGTAAGACGGAAGAGAGGGCCCGATACCTCGCCACGTAAAACGAGGCATCGATCCAATGCAATACCTGCCGGAGTGGTCCTTGCAGGCGGCCATGTGCAGCGCGGTGAAGCCGCAGCAGGTGCGCGCGTTGTAGTTGGCGCCGCGCTGCACCAGGAGCGCCACCACGTCGGGGCAGGCGTTGGCGGCTGCGCGCAGCAGCGGCGACCACTCCGACTCGAACGTGAAGTTGACGTCCGCGCCGTCGTCCAGCAGCTTGCGCACGTCCTGCGCGCTGCCGTCCTCCACCTGGGCGGCGATACTGCTTTCTTCTTGCCCCCATACGCACGTGTGCATACGGGGTAATGTACGTAGTATAAGGAAAGTTATGCAATGCTGCGGGAAATCGATTTCCAGGTTTCAACGGAAATAAAAATTTTGGGGTCCCTAGACCGAAAAAGTAGTTCTTCACATAACGTCCGTCTGTTTATCCGTCTGTGAACACTACTAGCGCCTAAAGCGAGCGTAGGATTTTTTTCCAAATTGAAGAAACCCATGTCCTTCTTGCTCGAGTGGAAGCTTTGAGATTTTGAAAAAAAGCTTTAAAATTTAGAGGTACTTTACATGACAGTTTTGCTTTAAATTTCTTGTCAGAATAGATTAGAATACACAAAAGCTGGCGTAGATCCGGTTTTTACGGTTAAGTCTAAACTTTCAAAATTGTCAAAAGTATGAATTTTTTCGGCCTTTTCTCACAACTACAAAATTGAAGATTGAGGTTTTTCCTTCAGATAAAATTTGTTGTTTCATTATTAGTTTCATAATTTATTCATTAAGGTCATGTGCGTTTTTTTGAATCTTTTATTAGTTTTCGCGCAATATTGCGAAGATAAGTTTAACAATTTTTTTTTAATTGAAAACGGCTCCAAACATTTTCTTAAAGCTTTTCGTAAAGGTTAGTGCTAAATGCACTCTATAAGATCACATAAACGCTATATTGCTCTATTCCTGTTTTTCAATAAATACAAAAATGTAATTTTTGGACTTGTCTCTCACGTTGTTAATATTTAAATTAGCGCAAAATTGTTCATATTATTATATTTATGAATACATGTGCTTTAAATAATGTAACATTATGTCGAAAACGTAACCGTTTACTGTGAAAACTAGCTCAAAATCCCGCATTTTCAAAAACACCCAAACGCTATTATCTCAAAATAGGCTCCAAAATTGTTCTTACAAATTTTTGAAAGGACACTTCTTATTGTATTCTTTGATATGAGGTAAAGTTCATTTCGGGGTATTTTTCGTTTTTTCAAAAATTTCATAAATGTAATTTTTTAAAGTTTTCTCCGGCACATTTCCACCAATTTATAAAAACGATTATATTTGTGAGCTAATATTCTTTATCTGTCTTCAAATAAAGTTTTTCGAAAATCGAAAAAAATTCTGTGAAAAAGAGCTTTAAATTTCGAATATACTGAAGCGCTTAGGCGCCATTTTCTTAAAAACGGCTTCAAATTTTTGAAAGAAAATTTTTATTTGGGACGATGTTTTACTGTTGTTTAATATTGTTAAAATAAAATTTAAATTCCAGTAGTATAAAATCAAAAATTTCAATTCGCAGATGATTGTCACATAAAATTTTATGCTTCGCTTTTACAAACATTCTAATACAAGACGTTTATTTAGGCGAGTCGCTTATACGTCCTAGAGTCTCGTTTCTGACCAACACTACTTATTCATGTCCCAATACACAGATTTGGACGTTTGATACCACTGTGCAGCAAAGACGTTAGTTTAAATGAAGCGAGAGTGACCAGTAGAGAGACCTTAACAGTGCACTTGGTCCGTCTAAGTTGATTGCTCCTGTATTCCTGGCGTTTCCCAAATATTTATTTTCTTAATAATAAATTAGACAGTTTATCAAGAAAATCTGTCAAATATGTAATCTCAGTAAATCTAAAAATCTAAATTAGTAAAATCTGTTAATGAATAATTGAGTTCACATTTCACCTGATACTTATATTAATTTTCTCAGACGCCGAATAATAGTAACATGCTAAATTTGGGAACAATAAAAAATAACTCCAGTGCTTCTTACGTTTCTGTGAAAAACACACATAAATATACGTATATCGTTGATTTTTTTAAATTTCATAGGCCTCACCTGGTGTTTCAGCCAGATGTCTACGGACTCGGGCCATATATGTATATGTATATTTATATTTATATGTATATGTATATGTATATGTATATGTATATGTATATGTATATGTATATGTATATGTATATGTATATGTATATGTATACGTATATGTATATGTATATATATATGAGCTGAGTTAATAAATACCCGGGTGAGTTGCCCGGGTATTTATTAATCTATTAGACGGCAGAATGGCACTCACCGCCTGCAGCAGGTTCTTGCCGAGCGCGAGGAAGCAGTCGTCGCAGAAGGAGCTCTGCAGCCCCTCGCGCTGCTCGTCGTCCAGGGACGGGAGGGGCGCCCCGGGCTTCCGGCCGCGCTTGCTCCACACGCACGACGCGCTCATGCCGCGCCGCCCCGCGCGCCCGCTCGCACGCCCGCCCACTGCAGCATTCACGGACGCTGCCGCGCACCGGGACCGCCGGGCGCGTCAGCTGCCGAGCGCATTAGTCCCGTAAGTGGGGTGCATGTGTTTTTTCCTCGGGAGGTGGCGGTGGCCTTCCGCCGGTGGATGACGAGATCCGGTGGCGAGGGGTTTCCCCAACCAGGTATCTCCCACCAGCGACGCATCCCCCCCCCAGACGGAGCGAGCTCGAAGCCCCCGACCGGTCTCCTGACATGTGTGCTACAGGAGTGCATGTCAATGTATGAATGTGTAGTGCATGTAGGTGTTATTATGTGTAAGGGATGTGGATAGGACGAGAAAGAGGAAGGAAAGATTGCGTGCGATGCGTGGCCCATTTTATTTATTTATTTATTTATTTATTTATTTATTTATTTATTTATTTATTTATTTATTTATTTATTTATTTACGTAAAAACAGTTAAGAACTGTGTGTGACGTACGATGGGGAGAAGTTAATTTCAAGTTACCGTGTGAAGTGTCCAGAAGCAAAACAAGGGGCCATCTCAGCATTTGCTGGAGGATCTAGGAAATTGGACCTCCTGAAAACCTGATCGAGATAGAGGTCATTGACCAAGAATCTGAAGTACAATCCTTGTTACGGGTTCTTTAGAATTATGTAATTATTGTTAAGGAACTGCTCCGACTTTCACCTGTTGTTGATCGGAGAAACTATGTAAAATTACTATGTAAAATAAGAGCCGCCGGTCGCTAGAATTCTCCTCCAGATAGCGACTGATCTGGACCTGGCTGACACGTTAGTGTCGAAAATCCAATATCGGTGATGCCCTTACGCACCTTTCCCGGTCCTTGTCATGGGCTTACTCCCGTAAGTGTAGTGTTTTATCCCAGTAGGTGGTGATCTTCATCCGCTGGATGACGAAATCCGGTGCCGTCTGCATGGTGGCTTGCCAGGTATATCCCCGCCAGGTATCCCCCTAGTGGGCATCCGCTCATAGCTCCCCACTGGTCTCCCGACATGTGAGGTAGTGTAGTGCATGTGAGTATAAGTGGGTGTACGTAAGGGGTGAGTATAAGACATGAAGGGGAAGGAAAAGCCGCGCGCGATCCGTGGCCCGTTTGTTAGGATACTGTTCAGGTGTTCCCCCAGTGTTGATCGGAGAAACAACGGAAAACTACCGATCAGAGCAGCCAGTCTCTAGAATTCTCTTCCAGACAACGACTGAGTTCAACCTAGGTATTCAGCAAGTGTTAAAAAGTCCGTTACTATCAGGGCTGAAATCCTAGAACTTTACGGTCTGACTTGCTGCAGAAACAGTGGCAATGGGCTAATCTCACCCGGTGCTACTCTCATCAAGTGGCTGGCTCATAATAGATGTATTAAGTCATAATTTTCTTCATTAAATTGTGCATGATATGTTGTCAAGATAGGAGTCTAACAGGTAATAAACTATTATTTATCATTTCCCTCCGCTAATTTGCCCCCTCATCGAATGATTTATCAAATGATAAATTGATTTATGAAATGGTGAATGATGGGTTATCAAGATACCAGACTTAAAGTGAACAAAATATTTTTGTATCAACTTGCCCACAGAGAACACGTTTAACGTTTTAAAATTGGCAACCACTCCTTATATAAGATTAAACAGTCTTATATACTTTACTTATACACTTTGAGTTAAATCCGGTAGAGGTAACTCAGAACATCCGCTGATGTCACTGTAGTTTCTCTGACCGGGAGATACTGGGATCGAGTCCCGATAGTGGCAAGGTTTTCGACACTAGCTACATAGCTATGTCGAGTTCTGTAGCTGTCTGAAAGAAAATTCTAGCGGCCGGCTGCTCTGAGTTCGTTCTTGTGGGGCAGTTCCCTGCTGGTTGGAGATACCTCGTTGAGGAAAACCTCGCTAGCAGACGGTAGGTCGACGCAGAATCTCGCCATCCAGCGAGGCAAGATCACTGACACCTCCCTAGCAAAAACATGCAATATATTTACGGATCTAAGTACCGTTGGCGTTGACATGGTTACGAATCTAAGTACAATTGACACACTCAGAATAACTTGTAATCTATCATTTAATCATTGAGTTAAATCACTAGTTTGTGTTTGTAAAAATATAGTAATACACAAATAATGAAAAGGACGTACATTTAGCGACACACATAAAATATATAAATATTATAAAAATTGAATACTTGCCGATTCATAATACAACTTAAGCTGGGCAATGATCTCAAAAACACACCGACACCCATCATTTTAAAAACTATCACCAAAGAAGCATGAGAATTCCTGTTGATCATAAATTGACATTATTAATATTTTATTGAAATTTTCATCTTAATAATTAACTCTAATTCATGTATGTGCAATATATTATTATGTCTAATAAATTACAGGAATTAAACGCTTCTGAATATGTTTGAATTAGATTGCAATGCATTTTAATGTTTAGATCTGCTCTCTGTATATTAAAAATCATGTATTAAACGAAATGGCCTCCATCAATATTACCATTCATTGAAAACTGATTCCAGAATCCTTTCCATATGGTTAAAAAAATGAAATAAAACCAACATTCCCACAACTCACAAAAATCCAAAAATGCATATTTCTCTTTAGTTTACTTGCATTGTAATACCGTTGAAATACTAAAAAATGCTATTTGAAGACTATCCAGCATTAGCACCTAGGTGAAAATATTACTTTTCATACAATTATTTTGAATTATCATTATTTTGAATTTTGACATAAATATGTAATTTTCACAGCTGTCACAATTGTGGTGAGGTATGAAATAACTCAATGACAGTCTTCAAAATGAACAATACACGTTCCCAGTCATCACATTTAGCACAACACAAACCATTTTCCTTCCGTTTATATAACCATTCTTCATCATTTTAATTCAATATTCAATCATCAATTTGGTTCAAATGCTAATGCAGTGTCATGACCTTCTAGATTGCAATTCAAACTGGCAGCCTTCGGCTCCAAAGAACAACTAACAACATTCTTACTCTTTATTATACGCAATCGTTTTTTTGAACTCCATAATCCGCACTTATCTCCATCTATATCATAATAAGTTGAATAAAAAATAAACGCGCATTATGCACGTTTGATAACTAGAAAAGTTCACACAAATATTTTATTGCATACAAACGTAATACAAATTATTCCCATCGAAAAACAAGATTTTTTAATATTTTAAGATAATCACATGCTTACTTTTAACATCAAGCAAGATATTACCATCTCTACAGCTTCCTAGTCTTCCATCGCGAGACTCTATATGAAGTATTACATTTGGAAAACAAAAGGGTAATAAGTAAAGTTTGTTATCAAATCTCTAATAGTCACAATTATATTCAAATTTTGATTTTATAACTCAATTTCGGCTTGAAATTGCTTAGAGATATCTTCTCCTGATTACTTTAACTTCATTAGGATCAATTTTCACTTACCAAGTTTCAATAACTACCCAATTTTCTCTTACCATGTGTAGATTTACAGTGAAAATCAGCATTATAGAAACAGCAGCTTTTAATCCCGCTGAGAGAAAATACTTATAATTTGCACGGAGAGAGATTAGATGTACACTTGTTAACACTGATGGGAAAATTCACTCACGAAAACCACACTAACAAGTAAGTTTAGGTACAAAGTAGACATTAACAATATTTTTAAAAATAATTTGAAATTTCTCTTAATTTGTTCATTTCGTTCTGCTTTGAAGAAACCTCAAAGGTATTCAATCTATTATTTAAAAAAATTAATATCATCATTACGTGTTTCATTTTTTTAAAAATATTTTCATATAAGAGGTAATCGCAAAATTCAAATCACTTGACTATATCAGAAGAATCAGCTTTAAAGTCAGTAGGCTTGTGCAACTTTACTAATCGAATCCGATGTCGAAAGCATTGGACAGTGTATTACCGTTGAGCGATAAATTGCAATCCGGAAGGTTTATTTCTTCCTGATTTGTTTAATGTTTGGGATTGTTTCCAAAATTTCGCAATCTCATTTGTGGTCACCACTCCTAGGAAAAAGTACTATCCTGATATCTGATATGGCATTGATCTTGCCAAGAGCATCAAAACAATAACAATAATAGATTGCCTGCAAAAATCTTTGAACCCTTTCCTCGAAACGTTCAACAGTTTAGGAAATTAATTTACGGTATTACGATGTAAATGAGTGACTTAACTGAGTAGGTTATATAGCAAGGCGTAAGTGATATATTGTGAAGAGAGGTGTCGTGCAGTGTAGAACAGAGAAATAATGAAGGAAGTGAGTAAAGGGTCATAAGGAAGTGAACTGAAGTGCAATACTGTGCAGTGTGGTTTTAATTGAATAAATATTCAATGCGGAGTTAGATTATAGAATTTTTTTTCCAAAGGTATTTTAGTGTTTTGTGAAAAGGCCGGATTTAAATCATTATTACTTTTATTATTAATGTTATTTTTTATTATATAATTTGCATGTTAGCTATATTATATTATTTATATAATTAGCTTCCATGGGGTTATACCCATTTACAGTTTAAATAAATTTATCACATGTTAATATTGAAAGATGGATTCGTATGCTTCCGCGGTCGGAGTCATTTGATACTTGGCCGCCCGGGAGCGCAGCTTCACAGTCTGTTGCGCAGACGTTTCGATCATCTTGTCGTGGCCTTCTTCAGAGTATGTATGTACTTGGCGTGACCGCCCGTGAATGGGCTCAGGCCTACGTCCCTTTCTCGCGGCTATGGGTTAAGGGGGTACGTGTGGTTAGCACGTAGACATCCCCACGCCGTATTCCGGTATTCTCAACCGTCTTCTCAACTTGTCGTCACATACCAACATATACTGGTACATTGCAAGGAAAACGCACACTACAACCTTGCCTGACCTGGAATCTAACCCGGGCTCGAGTTGTGGAAAGCGAGCACGCTGGCCAAGAGCTAGCCCTCATTCAGAGTAGCTCA